AGATCCGATGGGCTAAAAGGTACACGCAATATATCTCTTGTCCATCACATCATGGCGTTGCTCGTTGCCTGAAGATAAACCTTTTTTGTCATGCTACTAGATTATTGCAAGCAGGGTAAAGATTCAAAAAGCGCTTATCAATGTTAATCATTTTGGTCACTTGTTTGAACATCAAAAAACGTGAAAAAATACATGGCAACAGAGTGTACCAAACGTCAAAAATAAAATTTAGTTTTCATTCAGGAGACGTTTTTCAAACACACGGAGCATGCAATTAATCAAAAAAGATTCACGAAGAAGCTATGTTTCCGATACACATACACACCAACATTATTTGAATCCAATAAGGACTTTTTTTTATTTAAATAAAAATCGATAAGTTAAGAAAAACTAAAAGTTTACGGGTCGATGCAGGCAGCAGAGCAATGTGCAAGTTATCTAAAAACGTTGCTGAGACAACATCTTCTTATTAATCAATAGTCAGTGTAATTAGCCATCTCAGAAACATCTTAACTCTAAGATAATCATAAAATGGGATATCTAATTGGTTTATTTTGAGTCAAACTAGCTAGATTTAGCCCGAAACATCCGACTAGTTCTTAATCGTGATAAACGGAGATGATTGATTATGGTTAGGGCCCGTACACCCAAGGTGGGATTTCATTCAGATCCAATTTCAGATAGCTATTTTTTTTTTAGAATTGTTACCATGATAACTGCCATAACGTTTGGTATCTATCCAAATCTGGACTGGACTGGCCACGTATTCCCAAAACGATCTTAAGACTGGGATTTCCTGGGCCTAGGATCTTTACTTCGAACGCTGTTTCAAGGGTACACTAGCGCTAAGATCGTTTCAAGAATACAAAGCCTGGAGGGACAGATTTGTCCGGCTAAGCTAGAATGTGCCTGGTAAGATGACATTTTCTTATCGAGAGCCTTAGATAATACTCATAGAGATACGAGAAAAGTGACTAATGAATTCCCTTACATCAAAGAGTTCTGGTAACGTTTTTGACCTAATTACACCATTGTATGTCAATTTTTTCCTTCTAACTGATTTGAGTATATTCCGTTAATTACCACAACCTGACAGGTACTAAAAGATTGACGACTGATAAATAGGTTTAATAATTAACATTTTTGAAACATCTTTGAAACTTGATTCTTGCCTAAATTATAACTCCATCCATCATTTTCCCACTAGGTCAGAACACAATATGATTGAAAGCTCTATGGTGGGTGTGGTAGTGAAGAAGGGAATTCTATTTGTTTGAATACCCATGTCTGATTAAACTCTGTGACTGGGGTTTTAACACAACAATTTGGCACCGAGTCCACACTGCTGTATTTTTGTGCCGATTTTATCTTTTAAAATAAAATGTGTCATATCCTTGATATAGTCGTACAATTAAGAGATTTTATGTGACAACAGAACTAAGCTTAATGAGGATTGTATCGGATTAGGATGCTACTATTTATTCTTTGTATTTATGTCTGTAGAGATATTATTTAATCTTAGGTATATTAAACAACACAAATATATTGGTATTCTGTGGCACTGTTAAGTGGTTTGCTATTTTTTGATCGCGATAAAAAAAAATGGATTGAAGCCCGCCCCCAAAAGAGTCTGACAGGTGACACGTACTGCATCTAAACCCCACACCGCATTACCCAATTGAATATATTATTTGTTCTACCCCCGACCGCCCCCTCCCCACAGTCACCAAACTTAGATACATACCTTCTTGAAAACCAAACCTCATTTTTAAAAAAATGCCATGATAAGATTTTCTTTTTTTAACCATGTGTTCAATTCCCAATTTAAAACGTTTGTATGATTATATATTTTTGTAAAACACAAAATTCACAATGTCAAGATATTATGAAATTTGTATAATACCTTGACAACCATACGTGCTTTCCTTGTATCGCGAAGTTTGTGTTTTTATTGGTTTGTACGCTAACGAATATAGCCAATCAGAAACTTTGGCAGAAAGAGGTAGCGCATGTAACTACTATTTCTCCTCTGTTGTGTGAATTTATGTTGTGATTTTGCATAGAACTGATGTCAAGGTATAGGACGGATTGTGAAGATGGTTAAAAACAGAATTTCTAGAGAACCGAAAGCTTCTTTTAGCTATGGTTCATGTGTTTTTTTTTCAATTCTTATTTCAGTTAAAAACATTGCCTTTGTTTTATGACGTGTCATACATCATTGAAAATTAATACAATATTATTATCTTTCATCTAAAATTGTCAATATTTCATTTACAACACAATAATGATCAATATAAACCATTTAATGGCGCGAATATGAATTTATGTTATATTTTTATATCAAGTGATAATATGGCAGAAGTCATTATTTATACTTTATTTACTTTTAAAGTAGACACTTGTCCGTTTGTTAATTGCGTCATTAACTGTTAAGACTATATTGTGTTAAACACTCAGGTAAAGTTGACTGACCGTCTATTGAACAGGATAATATTAATTTTGCTTTGTCCGCTGAAGTAGGGAAGCTGGTTATGGTCGAGAGTCGATCAATGGATTACTATCAGTTTAGTCTCACTTAAACCAGATCTAGGAGTTCCGTTCCTTCGCTTGAGTGTTACTAAGCTTGCTACCCAAAATACGAGGAACCTTTTACTTTTAATCGCATTCAGTCGACTGTTGTCGACAGTGACCACATTGTCACCTTTCTTATGTATCGTGGAAGTTTGGAAATGAAGCGATTAAATTTGATTGTACGCTCGCGAATATTGCAATCAGAGGCCTCGAAAGAAATTTAATGATAACAAAGCCTAAGTGTTAAGTTTTTCTGTCGAGGGTTCTGCTTAACTGTATTCGCCTGCGTACAGTCCAATCAAATGGTATTTTGTGATACAATAATAATGGCTAGTGCATATAAGATGTTCGCAATAGCTTGACATTGTGAAAATGCACAGCGGCGTCAAATCATATTCAATGCACAAAGTTATCAATCATGTCTTATTTTGAATAATGATCAGCACATGTCGTTTTGATTCATTCATCTTCTGACTTTATATTTAGTAAAATAAAAATAAATAAGATATTTCCCCATTGCATTCTCATCCATTATACTTTTACAAAAAGAATGAAAAAATTCTTAGACTGATTTTTCAAATATTTTTGTGTTTTTTAAGATCTTTCTCTGTAACAGTGTAATTTGCTATTTATATTTTTCTAAAAATTACAGACTGAGTAGGCAGCTATATCAAAAATATCAACCATACAACATTCTTCGAAGAAATTTGAAAAATAAGAAGAAATCTAACATATTTCTCACCAGAAAGACTAAAAGTCAATGAAAACGTAATATTTGGAAAAAACAATTGAAAAAAAGACAAACTAAAAATGTTTGCGAGTGATTATCAAAAATTCTCAAATGAATCACCATTTGGCTCACTGTCTCCTTGTCCTACTTAAGTTAAAAGTTACCGTACGGGCATCTGTGCTCATATAAACATTAAAGATGGGTTTCCTTATATCCATTCATGAAAATGAAAATGCTAATACTTATATGAATAGAAAGTAAAGGTGTTCTATATAATGACTTGGGAAAATAAAAGTTTGAATTTTTTATTTTTATCCAGACTGTACATATACATGGATATTTATGATTGGTTAAAACTCTTAACTATTTGCAATAAGAACATTATGATATGATTAATAATACATGATAATTCATTAGAAACACCCAATTAATCAAAGTTTGCTCTGTTTGACACTTAAATCTTTAACACTAAAAACAATGTGAACTCTCCAGGGAACTGGAGACTCCTAGAGTCTCAAACAATAAGAGTAAATATTCATCAGTTAGACAGTTCATGACACCAGGTAAGTCCTCTCATGAACAAAGACACATTGTCGCCAAGTTTAAAAATTTTGGTCATTCTAAGAGAAAGTATATCGTTAAACAAACTGATGCATTAATCGGAATGGTGTGGGAATGATTGATCACTAACTATTGCATTTCACTGACCGACCTCATTGAAATTACACCCTAGTGCGCTGGTTAATAAGGCAATCTTACTAATAAATCCTATTAAAGCATCGAATTTCCCAACTGTCAGTAACTGTAGATGGTAATAAGCCAATGGATTCCAATGTGTAATTGCCATTTCCAAATTTACAGCTCATAGAATATCTAATATAGAAATCTAAAACCCCTCTGAAATACCAAATTGCTCATCTACTTATATCACTGTTTGGAAAACCTCCCCCAAGAGATAATTACTGTAAGTGATACCTTTAGCAATGGCTCATTTCAAGGAGAATGTACATGTCGCAGCCAGCGAGAGCTTGGGGTTATAAACTGTTTTGCCCTCTTTATTATTATCGTAAAACCTGTTAAGACATTAAAATGGTGCTCATCTGAATCATCAACAATATGATTATCAGTTTTCAGTCGATTCCTTGATCTCTACTACACTATCGTGTTTCACTTCAGCAGACAATTACCGTATAATTGACCAAGATATTATTTGTTTATGTCGTATAATATTTAAGTTTTCACACTATGTCAATCGTCACGCTGGCACACGGACACGATGGTCATGATTATTTATTTTTAGGTATATAATGTCGGCATCGAGTAGCAGGTTTTCACAATGGTGTTAAGTTGATTAATATAAGCAAAGCGGAAGCCAAAATTTGCTAATATAACTGATGTATAAATGGGACTCAAAAAACGTCTCCAATATCAGCTTTTGCTGGAAGCGGACGCCAACTTGTCTAGTACCATCAAGGTTCTTTTAGTCAATGTATGTATACTAGGGGCACATAACATAATTATGTTTTACTGACTGTATTAAGCTACAGTACCAATCAATTCATTTAATCACTAGTTCTATTTGTTTTATTTTCAGGATTTTATAGAATACCATTTTTCAATTGTTCAAGATTATAATGACGGAAACTGGTTAAAACTCTACTCCGCTGAATATGACTGAGGTTCATCATTAAAATCAACCATGAATTATTTTGAAGTCATTGGCAATGATTCTTCAATCAACCGATCTGGGAATTGGGGAATCATTATACCCGAACCTCAACCACCAACATTCGATGATATCGCAATGACCAAATGCATCGTATTTGGAACTATGTTTGTGATTGCGTTTATTGGAAACGTTGCGACCCTGATACAAATGTATAGAATGCGACATCGGAAATCAACGATTAATACCCTTATAGTAAACCTAGCTATCGGAGATTTGTTTATTGTTTGTTTCTGTTTTCCTGTGGAAGGAATCTGGGCTGCTACTGTTCAGTGGTATGGAGGAACGGCAATGTGTAAAATTATTAAATTCATCCAAGTGTTTTCGTTATATCTTTCAACTTATGTCACTGTAGCAATAGGATTGGACAGGTGCGTGGCTATATTAGACCCTATGAGAAGAAAGAGCGCCCCTACGAGGGTGCGGACTATGATTATGCTTGCCTGGTTTTTCAGTGCCTTGTTCAGCATTCCTCAGGTAAGCAATCGCATTTTTTAAAAAATAATGCATTGATAGTTTTGACAGTTTTTTTTTATGTCACCTCCACACTTTCCATTTCTTTAATCCAAAAATAGCAGCAGAACACAAAGCTCCATTTTATTTTCACAACATTACAGCAACATTATTCGTGTAAGGGACAGTGCCAGGCACGAAATTTGTTTGGGTAAGATCAATAGACCTTATTCACACGTTTTTTGAGACACTGAGAGCGAGGTTCATAACGCAAATTGTCACGTATTTTTAAGATGGCAACGTCATGAATAGCCTATTTGATGTCATTAAACACTCGTTCAACAGCGAGAAAGAGGGCCTAAAACTGCCCTTTCTCCAAAATGTGCGACGGTAAAAATTATCTGAAAGTATCATTAAAAAACTTTAATGATGTAAAATATGACTAGTTTTGAGTTAGTGTAATTGGGAGAAGGAGGCGATATGCTGTCAAGGTGGAGAAAGTAAGCAGTGACACAACCTGTTTGCGTTATGAGCCTCGATCTGGATTCAATATGGCCGACGCGAGAATAAGGTCTATTGAAGTCATATGAACAAAATAATGCAAATTGAATCATTTTAATAATAATAACTTTTCCCTTCCCTTATTTTCATTTATTAAAATGAAAACGCTAATACGTATATGAATAGAATGTAGAGGTGTTCTAATATCTTGGGAAATACCAGTTTGTCTCACATGTCCTTAATGAAATCATAATTAGCTAAATTAGGAGAGAATTACCAGCTGCTACTTTTGTTTAATTTATGAATTAATTATGAATTAATTATGTACAAGTGAGACAAACTGGTAATTTTCCAAGTCATTAGAACACCTCTACTTTATATTCATATAAGGGTTTGTATTTTCATTTTCATAAATATAAATAAGGGAACCCATCTTTAAAATGTCACCCATCTCACAAAATTGTCAGACAGACATTGGAAGGTCCTGGATGAATGTTATATAAGTTTTGTCCTGTCCATAGTAAAACTGGGGGCGACGCATAAGTTGAACTTTCAGAGATAACATTTACCACACAAAAAGTTGACATTCTGTTGTCTGGAAGGTCATGACCGATGGTGATATGCGTGAAAAATAGATATTGATAATTCATGAAGCCAGTGGCAAATCTAATGATTCGTAAAGAATCGCGCGGAGTGAACGTAGGTGGTCCGAAAGTTTAAACATTGCCAGAAGCGGTGCTTTGAAGGACAGTGTTTTCTTTTTATTGTTAAAAACGGTCTTAATGAAAACATAAAATGAAATTTGAGTTCTTCCTTTGTTTCCCTGCTTGGAATGAAAACATGCAACGCTTTGCATGGACCAATGGCATTAATATTTTCTTTTTGATCTTTTACTAAGAACAGCGTTCCATGTTAAATTTTCTGGCAATATCTCGATTAATCAAATAGAACTCTATTTCGTGTTGAAATAAGACATATTTTCAAACATTCTGTTAATGAAACTAATTTTTAAATAACATTATTTTCTACGTTAAAAGAGGCCGTGGATATCCAAATTCTGTTCATGTGAAGAATAATAACGCGTAATATTCACGATTCTATATCCATTCGGGTGGTCGGTTGTGAAGGTTAATGACCCGGAAAATAGTGCCTAATCGTTCGTGTGGATGAATAACCGAGGTCACCTGCGCTCTAGGCTGTGAAAAATGGTTTGACAACTAAAAATACGAAATATAAATGTCGAATAATTTTGTCGAAGGAGCTCCACATTCAATCTTATCAAAATCAGATTACAATTTCGTATGCATGTACATGTATTTATTTTTTTATTTCTTCGTCTCTCGTGATTTCTACCGCAGTCCCGTTCAAATGACGTTGTTTAACCAATGAAAGCTTGTCATGCAGGACCCACTTTCTTATAATGACGAAAGTACGAATGTAGGAAAGCAAAGCCCAAAGAGAATGTGATATTACTTTCGAATACGTTACCAACAAATCGTCATTGTTAAATTACAATGGAGACGAAAACTTTGACGGCCGTAATATAACATCTTCAAGCTCTGAATTATCTGATCGTTATCGTGGAATGGCGTCGAATAATGGTGATCGTCAAGGGTTCGGTAATGCTACGAATCCAGTAAAACTTAATTTTATAGCTGCATTTATTGAATCAAATTATGCACAAACAGATCAAATCAAACTTTTAAGTTTCCATTAGACAAAAACTTTCAAAGTTATCATTAAATGGCGAGCTGTTACAGAACGTTATCCAGCACACGTATTATGAAGTGAATTTATTTAATTAAATCCAGTGTAATAAAGATTTTACAACATCGATGCTATGAATAAAATATTATTGATGGCTTCAAGTAGAGTCTTATGCCGTAAAAATGTCAAAATTGACGTGAATTGAAATCAGTGTAGCTTAATGAACATATCACCCATGTAATAGTTTGATACGATTATGATATTTATTACACTGATCAACTATTGATATTAATAATCCTTTAGCAACATTTAGAGGTAGAGATCACATTAAATTACAGAACACAAATTTATGGTATACTACTAGAGTAGTAAAAATTTGATTAGTATTAAAAGAATTAAAGAGAAAAATGTATTAAAGGAATTGTAGGTTTAAGGTATCGGGGACACTGATAGCATCAATTTACACCAATCCAAGTTTTTAATCAGACGGCAGTGGTTCCTGTGAACAGTTCTTTATAATGCCTTTAAATAGGTTGGTGCAAGCGATAATACGGTGTATAATAGATAGGGCATATCCAAAGCAAAATTACAAAATGTAATGTGTACGAGCAGGCCCGTTGTTACCAGACTTGATAGTTCGGTGGGCAAGTAATATACCCGGAGGGGCAATGTTGTATGGTGTTTAGTTGCTGTAATGGAGTTGAAATTGCCTCATCCCGTAGCTACGGGCCTGTATACGAGCACTTGGTACTATGTGAACGAAAGAAAGACAGCTTGTGTCATAGATGAATAGAGAGTTTTAGTCTTGGCAAAATACCTGTGCAGTGTTGTTGTTCATCTTTTGCTTATTGATAAGAAGAACACTACATACATCCTATTTATCAGCTGGTATTAGATTTTTAGCTGAATTAGCCAGTGATTTTTTGGCAAAATTTTGAATATTTTTATCATTTTCTTCATTATGAATATTTCTAATATATATTTCGTGCAGTATTGACGTAATGACAATAATAACCATTCCTAGCAATGAATCTTAAGTATATACATTATGTAATATTATTGAAATGATATGACTATTTTCTGATCTGGCTTGTTCAGGTGAATATTATATAAATTTTATATATTATATAGTTCGTGCAATAATGACGTATAATGCCAATAACAAGGTCTTACCGCAATGGATCTTATCTTAATGTTAATAATTATTTAATAGTTTTGACAATCAAGGTGATATAAATATCCTAGTTCAATTCAGAACATCATCCCGAGCAGTCCATTAAATATTTAGAGAGAAAAAATAGGTTAATGAAACGTAAAGTACGATTTTGATTGCCAAATCCGGTGGAATTCTCATGTTAATGTGTCCGCAGATTAAGAGAAAGGGGTGGGGAGGAGATACTGTCTGTTCATCGAGATGAGTTTTTCAAGTCTTGGTAATAATGAATGAAAACCTTCATAGGCTTATGTAAAGACATGGAAATTGTTATCTTATGATAATAACAATCGTGCCGTCCTTAGTTATTTATCCATCATCAGGTAAAATGTAAGGTGATGTCAGTGATAATCACGAACCGTCAATTATTTCTTATTTGACCGCTTTCATAACAGCGAATTTTCAAGTTACCTGCGGTTGTAAGAAACAAGAAGTCAATTATAGTGACGAATGACCACTGTAGAATAATCATCCCAATGGAATCATGGTGTCTCTAATTATTAGCCCATGATGTATGGCTTTATTTGTAATATATGGTTGTAACAGTGGCGGAACATTTCTTCTTTATACATGTTCTGAAACTACAATAATAAATATTTTCACTGTTATAATAGTGCTTAATACATTAATTGACCTTCAGAGTTTAACGCTGACCTAATTTCAGCATGCGTCCCTACTGAAGTTGGACAAGCAGAACTTATTCTAATGTCAACATTTCGAGACGAGTTTGGAACCTATAACAAATATGGTAAAACTGTTCTGCAAATAATGTGAAAATTGACATTGAAAGTCTTTCTACCTTGATTTTTAACACAGTTGTTATCAATGTAGAGAAGTTAAAATGTCACTTTTCGATTAGTAATTTGGGATTATCAAACAATTTCCTTTTTCGTTATCGCATCAATCCTGCTTTCGTGATATGTGTCTATCACCTCTTTAACAATCCCGTCTTCACAACAATCGAACGTATAATTCCATCGTGACAAAACTCTGCATTTGAATTCAAAGGAAAGGTAATGTGTATGTTAAACGTGACACATAAGGTGTATAATATTTCGACGTAAAACTATTTAATTTAATTACAGTAAAACCTGTACTAACGGTCAACTTTATTCAGCACCCTGCAATGAACAGCCAACAAAAATCACCTCAATGCACAATTTTCAACCAAATTTACCTCTTTTCAACGACACCCGCTTGACGATGTAAATCATTTTCTGATTTCAGGCTATAATCTTCAACGTGAGGAGAGGTCCATTTAAAGAAGATTTCTACCAGTGTGTGACGATGGGTTCCTATCCCAACGCATGGCAGGAAGAAGTCTATTCCATAGCATCATTTTTGTTAATGTTCGTTATTCCATTGGTTATCATCGGCACTGCTTATGGATTGATATTCAGCACAATAGCTAGAAAATCTAAAGAATTCAGTGGTAAGTAGGTTTCAAGTTTTTGTTTTGATATGAGAACTCAGTTTGAATAAGTGTTTCCCTTTTCAAAAACATTATACAAATTTCCCGCATTTCGTTTGATGATACAGAGACACGAGAAAACCAATACGATATTGCTACTCGCAGAATTTTCGAATTAGCTATTAAGAAATTTCAAGTAACCATATAGACGCATATTTATCAATTAATGTTAATATTTATATATAGAAATAAACACTCTAGGTTTTAGCATTTTAGCATCTGCGAAAATAGGGTTATGATAAGTTCAATTCAGATAAGGTCTTATATAAGTCTTATTACCCGAATAAGTGATGGCTTTCTCATTCATTACTCCTCATCTGTTATTGATCAGGAAGTAGAAGCATTATGCGGAAGTTAAGTTGTAAAGTATAATATTTGTTGTTTCGGAAAGAAATTGTGTGACATATTAAAGAGTAAAACCTAATCAATGGATACACGAAAAAAAAGATATTAGCTAACTTAGCTCTGTGGTCTCTCTGGACGGGATGCTAATTTGATAAGCCATACAAAAAAATAAATATACGAAAAAGCTATGTGACCTATCCGAAGGGGGCGTCAATTTGACAGGCCCAGTTTGCAGAGGCATCAATTGATCAAAGCAAAATCATACCAAATATATATTCATAATAATACATTGTATTAACTCTGTGGAATGTCCGAAAGGGATGCCCAGTTACAAGGTGGCATCAAGTATTCCATGATGGACCACCCAGTACAGTGTTTATTTTGGTGGAGCTTAATTAAAGTATATTAAACACATATTGTATCGTGATTTACTAAAAGTGAGTAGGTAATGAATTATTTACCTATTTCAAGACATAGATGCGTCAGTTGCCTATTAAAAGTAAATTATTCATTCCCATGTTAATCTGATTTGTTCAGAATGGTGTTATATTTATCTTGTGTTCATCAAATATATATTATTTGGATTAAGTTTAATGCATCTAATTATCGGTTGATAATGCCGTTGTACAAACCCAATGGTCACTTCGTACAATTGGAAATAGGAAGACTAGTTGCAGCTGAGATCAACTAGATTTCGACCGCTAAAGTCAATGATGAGATCCAATTTTCAACAAAAGTATACATGGGCAACTAATGGCAACTGTGATTTGCCAGTCCTCTAAGATCTGTTGAGTTACATGATTGATAAAATTCTATCATGTAGTGCTGTCCGTCACTGTCTGGGTCTGTTAGTTGCATGTTTGACCTGATCCCCATATTACCAATTATATAATATTTATGCAACAAATAATTGTTACGAGCTTTCCACGAAACTTATTCACTATGTAATCGTATTTTCAAAGAGTATTAATACCAAGGCCATGTGCCTCGTAATAGTCATTATAACCCATGGTACCGAACCATTCAATCCGACCACGTAAAGCTCTTATTATACAATCTGGAAGCTATGGTTCACAACTTATGCAGGGGCCCTACCAAGTGTCCCCTATTTAAGAACATGATGTCTTATTCTAGTATGTCGAACAGTCAATGCACATCAAACAGGCTGATGGATAAGACTGTTAAGAAATGTATCTTCCACCATTAAGCTTCAGGCTTCAGAGTCCAATCCACTGTGGAAGGTTTTGCTAGAGAAGAAGAGCATATCCCTTTCAGAACACTCATACAGCTGATTCTGTCAATTCTGCACCAATGTTGTCGAGTTCACTTTCAGTTTTAGCACTTCATGACCAAATAAACTATATACCTGATCAAAGAGACTAAGAGACAACCCTAGTGTAAATAAGACAGGAAACCAATATTTAAAGATCATTTCAAACACTTAGCCGTCTCTTTACCTCAATTATAAGATACCTTTTGTGTGGTAATCTCCAATGCGGTAGACAGAACTCTGGAATTCAGCCTAAAGACTCTAAAGCAATATCTTATCATTACAATGTGGAAAAGATATATGAAAGACGATGAAATACTGGTTCTCTTTGAAGCCTGTAATTGGACAGACATAAATCTGAAAATAGAACAAAATGGGACATCTTTGACAGGATTATCTATATATTGTTATGATTCGTATAGGTCTTTAAATCTTGTACCAGACACTTTAAATGTTTTAAAATTTATTTTAATGTTTCGTTTCCTGATTGTGTGAAATTCCCACACGTTTTACCAATTGCGTTCACATCGTAATAGAAACGAACATTAGAGTGTCTAGCAAAATGATTAGTCCACAAAACATACATTAATTTACATCAAAAACTCGTCTTCTCAACCTTTTCATACATTTATATAGATGATTATATATCTGGACAACGTTATCAGCAAAAACAGATTCTGGTTTAAGAATCAGCAGTTTTTAAAGATGGGTAAATTTCTTTCTGACCTCGATTTTATTGGTGCCATTATCGATTTCAGTTCATTCAGGTCTAATTCATAACTGTTGGCTTTAAAATCCAGATATAAGTAGTCGATAATTATTAATATATATATATTATATATATTATTAATATAATATGTATGAATAATACAATACATTGTCAAATGGCCCTTTCACATAAGGTAGTATAACAATCATATGTGAGTAAGTATTTCATTCTGAAAAGTGGTATCAGGTGTCTATAAGTGTAAGCATACACAGCCTGGTATATGTCATTTCTGCTCAACATACAGAACAACCACGTCAAAGAAAAAATTGAACCTGTTTTCACCCCCCTGAGGGTGTGGGACTAGGGTGTTAGGGGTGTGGTGTAGGAGAAGAATTTATTTTGAAGTGAGAGAGCACCTAACATCACCATATACTGGAAATGTGAATGAAACAAATTTTTGAGGGTGTGAAATGTCCAGGTGACTGCTCCAGGGGTGTGATGGCTCAGAAAAGGTTGGAAACCACTGCTTTAGAAGACAATGTGCTTTTGAGTGGTGGCATACGGTAACCGCTCTTTTAAGACTCTTGACTAAATGTTTTTATAAACTGAAGGAGGTGTTTATTTACGTTTTATCTCAATAGAAGCGACATTCACTCTATTCAAATCGAGGTTACAGATTTATTCATTTACGGAAATAGCCTTTATCATTGACAAGATAGAGTAATGAACGCATGTCCTCCCCCAGCTTCTTTCATTTTAAATTTATAAAGAACCAGACAAATATGGTAATTACTGACGGCCGTGTTTATTAGATAGCCATGGAATTAATTCCAACTCTCTGCTGTTGTTATTTTTATCCCGAAATCAATCAGTAAATGCATTGATCATTTTATTTTTGACGATTTATCGACTGTAGAAATAACAAGAGTTTGGAACTATTAAGGGCAAAATGTTAATAAGAGAAAACTTTCATATATGTTCTTATAGAAACATTCCCATAAAACTCTGAAATCACTAATAGGTCATAGTAACAGTGGGAAAATGTGTCATCTTCTCTTACCAGTAGAAAATATAGTCTTACGTTATCATTTATTTTATCATTTACGTATATTCACGAGCATAACGACATCTTAGTTTAAATGAAAAATAATGGCAAAGAGAACAAAAGAGACATAATTGTTTACAATATCGATGGCATTGTTTACAAACCAGGAGAGTCGTGTTCTGTTTTCATTGGCACCATCAACAGTATATAGACGAGAGTAACTATATGCAGTAAAAAGAGGGCGTACTTTTAGAACCAGAAAGCCATTTCTATGTTACATGGCAATGCTATATACATAAACTCGACACGATAAGAGTAGATTTAAAAGAGACTACTTCGCCATTTTCGTGGGTTGACTTGGGTCTTTGATATATGTGAATAGTCTTCACAAGTACTTGGAATGTAAGCAAATCGCGTAATTCCTTCATAAATATCTCAAACGAGAAATTTATCTTTCTATTTCTATATATTATGTATTTTCTCCATTAAACGAGTTTATCTTAAAACGCAGATTCTGGACACACATGGATGTGAAGCTATGAACACTGTTACTGATTAGCTGAGCTAAAATACCGTTTCTAAGACTGAGGTACCATTGGTCAGACAGATGACGAACCAACCCCTTTAAGAGCCAGGATACAATTCTTATCAATATATATTGTCAACTTCTGACAGAACCACTCAAGTACTGTATAATTACTGGTTGAACCAAATTCACGGGCCCCTACCCCTGCAGGCGAGCAAATTTGTAAATACTAATTCCCATAACCCATCTATCCACACAAGTAGATAAAAGTCATGTATCGTAAACATTAGAAGTTTGGGATTAATAAACGATAAAACTAAATAAAATGAATGGAGTTTTACGTCCCACTTTTCTGTACCATGTGGGCTAATGAAGACGGGCAACGCCATGCAGGATACAATGAGGGAAATTTTGTCAGGGCAGTGGCTCTGCTCTTTTTCGATTTCCAACTGTAGCACACTTGGCCTTGGTTTATTATCCCAATCGGACGACTAGACGCTTTATCCATGTCAGTCCCTCTTACCTGCATCACTGACAGGGGGAAACCGGGTTGAAAAATCCGAAGGTATTATCTTGGTCCATGCAGATATGGGACCCTGGATCTCGGGGTAAAAATCCACGATAAAGACGCAATACCAATAACATTAGTACGAAAGTCGGAATATCCCGACCCGTCTCTCGTATCGTAAACAGTTCAACTATGAGATACCATACAGTTGATTAATTTGTAATATATTGTATATATTATGCAAATTTTCCCATAACATTTATTATGTTGGTACATTGTTTCGTGGTAGGTGTCACAGAGGAAATATCAGTGGTCTACTCTCTCGAAGCACCTAGAACTATTCTGGCTTTAAAAATTGATCTTTTCTTTTATTCACTTGAACAAAACCTGATATATATTCTCGAAATTCGAACTATAAAATGCCACACAGTTGATTAAGTTGTAATGTATTGTATAAATTATACAAATCATCCATAACAATTATCATAAAATTGGTACATTGGTGGCAGGTGTCACAACAAAATATCGGCGGTTTTCTCTCTGGAAACACCATGG